CCTCCTCCTCCTCCTCCTCCTCCGGCATCGTCGCGCCCTACACTCTGAGAAGAGGAGGAGAGCGACAGCAACTCAAAGGCAGCGCTGGCAAAACGGGTTGAGTCACCCCTTGCATCAGGCAGAGGGCATGAAGACCTGCAATCGAGAGAATCCTTGCGCCGATCAGCAGTTATGCACGGTCGACCGCGGCACCGCATCGCCAGCGCGCGATTGTTCATCGCGTGCTCCGCTCGTCCCGGCTGGATGATCGATCTGGCCCGACTTTGGTGCCAGCTTGTCCAGTGTGCGTGTGTGCACATGTCGCCTCGCGTGCAGCCATCGGCAGGCCGCGCACCAGAGGTCACCCGTGCCCACGGAGATCCTTTCTTGCATGCAGCCGCTTGCTCTTCTTGCCCGGCCAGCACAGAACAGCCGAGCTGGCCGCGCGCGAAGCGCGCGGCCCACCTCCGAGGAGATGGCTCAGAGCGCCTCAGAGCGTGAATTACCTACCCCGCTTTCGCTTCCAGGCAAAACCAAGTCATACCACGCGCCTCCTCGTCAAGCGGCCTGACCAGTACATGCTGCAATTTGGCATCGTTTGGTATCTCTTGGAAGCGAGGGTGGTCAAAAGCGAGGTAGGTTTGTTTTCCCCTTACATACAGCCTCAGGCCGGAGCCCGAGAACAGCGACGGCTAACCTAACCTGGAGCCGCCACAGCGTGATCGGCCCGTGGCACCAGAGGTGCCCCGCCGAGAATGCAGGATGGCAGTCTTAAAGAGCAGCCCGGGGGAGCTCGTCAGGCCTCGGCGCCCGGGGTGAAGATTCGTGAGCTGGGTTCTGGGTCCAGTCCCCGTGCTTCTGAGTCGAGCCGTCATAGGACCTCTGCGACCGCCACGTGGAGCGGCCGTGCGACGCGCGCGCGGCCCGCACGCGGCGGTGCCAGCCCGCGGCGCCATATCGTCTGGGCTTCGGCACCGAGGGCCCGCCGTGCCCCGACCCCGCCGGCTCCCCGCCACTTGGCTGCGCTGCAGCATGCCCGCATCTCTCGACTGGACGTAGGAGTGACCCTTCGCCGGAGTGACCTTTGGTGCGGGCTCATCTGGCTCCCCCCGATCGCCGAGCACGGTGCGATGTCGGCGGGCCGCGCCCCTGGGTTTGGCCCCCTCGCGCCCCCCAGAAGCCGCGCACCAAAGGTCACTCTTACCCAGGGTCACTCTTTACGTGCAGCCGAATCTCCTGGTGGGCTGAGCCGGGCATCGGCCCCGGCAGCTCCCTGGCACTCGGCCTCAGCTCGAAGCAGGACGAGCCGCACATACCCTTGTCGTCGGCGGCGAGGCAGAGCTGGCTGCACCAGCAATAGGGACCCAGCTTTGGGGCGCCGAGGGGCGAGTCGACCTGCGTGCAGGGGGGGGAAAAGTGGGGGAGGCGGGCGGCCGCGGGGGGGCGGGGGGACAGAAGAGGCCACTCAGGGGCGGACGAGTCAGCACCAAGTCTGGACGCCCGAAATGGGTACGGAAAGAACGGGTACGATGTCCAACAGCAGTTCCTGTCCATTCTGAGCAGGACTCGCTGTCCGCGCCGCCGCGGCCTGTTGTCCGTTCGAGACAGAGGGCCGCCTGCCCAACAGCGGCCGCTGCTGGTTCGGGACGACGTGTCTTGTTGGGCATTGTGCCCATTCTTTCCGTACCCATTTCAGGCGTCCAAACCTCAGGGGCGGACCAGGTACCCATTTCGGGCGTGCAGAGCTTTTGTTGCTCACGTTTTTTCAATGTTTCGGGCGCCCATGTTTTTCGTATCCCTTTTGGGCGTCTAAAACTTTTGCTGTTCGGGCGTCCAAAACTCAGGGGCGGACGAGGCAGCACCGAGAGCCAGCACAGGCACGAGCTCTCGGAGGTCCGCGCTCGCATCGGCCCTGCCCCGCCCCCCGGCAGCGCCTCTGCCCCCTGGTCGCGCTCCGCGGGCCAGGCAGGGGGACCCGGCGCCGGTGCGAGAAATTCAGGAGGGAAAAGAACACGCAGACGCAATTAACCGTCGACTCCCAGGAAAAGATGGAAAAATATGGGAGTTGGGGGGGAAGACAAGAATCCAGAAAGTCTTGGAAACTATGGGGAATCCTGTCATTTGTGTGCATGTATTTGTGTGTCCCAGTTCCCCTTCAGAAGTCCGCGCGGCCTCCGGAAGTCTTATGGTTGTTCGCACGTTTCGTGCTTTGCAATCCTTGGGCAACTCTGGCCTGAAAGCTTCCCAGTGTCGCCTGGGAGCTTTCATCGGGGGCGGCCAAGAGGCGGGTGATGACTAGGGGGGGGGACATCATGGCGGGGGCCATGATGTCTCCCCAAATTTCACGGCGCCTCTTCGTGTTTCAATACGTCCCTGGACCCCCCTCCTGGGCCGCGCACATGGCGCCGGCCATGATTTGCGCCCCCCCCCCCCCCCCCCTCTTGGACACCCCCCACTTGGCCGCACCCCGATGTCACTCATGCCCATGTGCACCTCTCAGGAGCGTTCACCCAGTGGTGCCCTCTGCCGTGTTCAGTAGACGGGCCAACGGCGATGTAGGTAACCGCGATGTAAGTTTCGGTATTGTGGGGACGCGCGGCTCGCGCTTTCCTACAACTCGCTGTGTCGTGCTCGCTCGATGGATTCGCAGATGGGGGGTGTAGGACAGTGTGGTTTGTGACTTCCTACACTTTGGTTCCCAGCATCACCGCTGGCCGTTAGCCCGTCCTTGGTCCGTTAGCCTGGCCTTGGTCTTGCAACGGCGTTGGAGGTCCAGGCCGTCTCTTAGACCCCGGACTGGTCCTGGCGTGCGTTCTGGCCAGAGGTTCTGGGCGGATCCAGTCGTGGTCACGAGGGCGCCCCAGGAGGGGCCAACATAACGCCCAGGAGACTCCATCCGATCTTCGATGCCTGGAGGCAGGAAGGCCTGGAGGCCTGGGCCGCCTCGGATGTCGGTATCGTTTAACCGATCCCCATCCCCATCCCCATCCCCTTCGAGACCCCCACCAAGCTATCACCCCAGTTGGGGATAGTTACACCCCTCGAAGCCCGCAGGGAACGGCCGATATCCCCATCTAGGAGGGGTAAATCGGCCAGTGGGGCCCAGGCCACGCCATTGGGGATGGGGATCGGTTAAACGATGCTCAGACAGACCCGTTCCAGGACGTTCCCGGAACGCCCTCAGAGCGTTCCGGAAGGCTCTGAGAAGGCCGCGGCGCCCGAGACACGTCTTCCAGAGCCGCCGGATCTCAGAGATTCTCGATTTGTCCTCACTCGATTCTGTCCTCGTCCCGGCTTCGTCTCTAGAGTCCTGGCTGAGGGGCCGCCTCGGATGTTGTCCCCGCCCCTCCGCCACCCCTGCGGCTCGCGGCGGCGCCACATCGGCAGGGTCGGCGCAGGCAGCCCGACGCGCAGCCCCCCAAAGGCCTCCGGTGGCCACGGCGGTCGCACGCTACTGCTGAGTCGGGCAGGCCCCTCTACAGGAGGAACGTTCGAGAGTAGCAGAAACGCAGCCTGGTGACGATCCGTCGGCTCGCCTGTGGGAGGACGTGCCCGCCCTGGCACTACTGGGCCCCCTGGATGCCTCGACCCCTGCCAGGGGACCCCTTTTGCACCCAGGAGCGGGCCGGCTCGCAGCGCGCATCGAGAGCCATCTGCTTTTCGGCAGGGTACCCTGGGTCTCTCCGCTCCTCGAGCTGCGCGGTGACCTCCCGCGGCCGTGGAGGGAGCTGCTGCGCTCGGGGTGCCCTGGGCTTCCCCCGAGTCGCATTTCTTGCGCGGGCCTTCGGGGCCCTTGGCATCGCTTGGACGTGCGCATTTGTTCTCGGCGAGAAGCCACGAGGACCCTCCTGGACCATCGAGGAACAGAAACACGCACGAAACCGAAACATGCGCGGGAAATGGACGTCCGAGCGACGGCAAGTTAGGGTCTACTGTTATGGTGCTCCCACCGACTTAAACCTTGATTACCAGACAGAGCTCCGAGCACCAAGGGCCGAAACTGGGGAGATTTCACGTGTCGGGAGGAGGAGGAGGAGGAGGAGGAGGAGGAGGAGGAGGAGGAGGGGCCGGGTTTCTTGCGAGGGCTTCACCCCGTTCGGCGCCCCGGCCCGAAGAGCGGGCCTGCGCGGGCCGGCCTCTCGAGGGAGGAGAGCCCGCCGCAGTCCTCAAGCAGACCGCGGAGGTCTGCGGTCCTCCCGCCGGCCGGCTCACGGCTCCCACCCGCCCATGCGCTGAACGTCCCCCCTCCTCCTCCTCCCTCTCCTCCTCCTCCTCCTCCTCCTCTCCTCTCCTCCTCCTCCTCCTCCTCCTCCCTCCTCCTCTCTCCTCCTCCTCGTCGTCCTCCTCCCTCCTCCTCCTCCTCCTCTCCTCGTCCTCCTCCTCTCCTCCTCGTCGTCTCCTCCTCCTCCTCCTCCTCCTCCTCCTCCTCCTCCTCCTCCTCCTCCTCCTGGGCCCGCGCTCCTGGGGCACTGCACGAACGAGATGGGCACGGAAAGAATGGGTACAATGCTCAACAGCAGTTCCTGTCCATTCTGAACAGGACTCGCTGTCCACGCCGCCGCGGCCTGTGTCCGTTCGAGACAGGAGGCCGCCTGCCCAACAGCGGCCGCTGCTGGTTCGGGACAACATTTGTTGCTGGGCATTGTACCCATCTGTTTTCCGTACCCACTTCGGGCGTCCAAACATGCGCGTCTACCCGCCCTCCCGCCGCCGGAAGATGTCCGTGTCCGCCGCTTCGGCGTCGTGCCCAGGGGCCTCGAAGATCTCTCCAGGGGTTGTGGATGTGGAAGTCTGCCCGCCCCGGAGGGCAGGCGGGTAGCCATATCTCAGGAGGGAACACGCACACAGGCACAAATACTCCTCCTCCTCCTCCTCCTCCTCCTCCTCCTCCTCCTCCTCCCTCCCTCCTTTTCCTCCTCCCTCTTCCTCCTCATGCTTTTCCTCCTCCTCCTCGTCCTCCTCCTCCTCCTCCTCCTCGTCCTCCTCCTCCTCGTCCTCCTCCTCCTCTTCCGCCCCGCCAGCCGCACGGCTCGATGTCGATGCCGCCCCCGATGACGGACAGCCCGTTCGGGACGCCGCGCTCCTCGAGGCCGTCAGACAGGATGGCCACGCCCAGGCGCTCGCAGGCTGGTTTGGGGGGGGGGCAAGGTCAAACCCAAAGATTACTCGCAAGCGCCCGGCATCTGCGATGTAGGTATCACTGCTCTTCCGCAACTTGAGCGCGCACGTCCTTACTGGTTGCCGTTGTACATGAAAGCAGCTTCTCTTCTCAACCTGATCGCACACGTCTGCTCTGTTGCACTCGACAAACGTAAGAAAACAGGGTCGTTAAATAGATCCATACTTTGAGTCCACGGGGTGGGGGGAGATTCCCACGCCCAGACCTCGCGGGCGGAAGAGTGGTAGTTTTTTTGTTGTTCTCGTTGTTCTGCCGATCGGCGCGGGCCCTCGCACCTCGCACGCCCCCTTTCCCCTCTCCTGGCGCAGATCGTGGCTGTTTCAGGCGCCTGCGTCAGGCAGGGGGGGCCCTCCCCCACAGGACGCACCGCTGCAACCAGTCGCGCTAAGCAGAGGCCCGGAGCCAGACCCGCCCCCTTCCGCCCCATGCCGAAACGCCGAATAATAAAAAAACGCTGTTTTAGGCGCCCGTTTCGGGCAGGGGGGGCCCTCCCCCATGGGAGGACGCACTGCTGCAACCAGTCGCGCTAAGCAGAGACCCGGAGCCAGACCTCCCCCCCCCCCTTCCGCCCCATGCCGAAACGCCGAAAAAAAACGCTCACGACTCCCCCGCCCAGACCTCGCTGGCGGAGAACCTGTGTACTCGCATCCACGGGCGCGCGCCGGCTGGGGCCCCCGGGGGCGCGACCCCGTGGGTGGACACGGGGTGCTTTTGTTCGCGGAGGCCCCGCACGGAAAAGGTATCCCCAGACGACCGCGCATCCACGGGGGATCCGGCTCCCGAAGCTTGCCCGCGCTGGCGTGGAAAATGGCTGTGTGCGCCGCCCGTGCAGACCTCTGGAGGACCTGCTCCTCCTCCTCCTCCTCCTCCTCCTCGTCCTCGTCCTCCTCCTCCTCCTCCTACGACTACGACTGCTACGACCACTACTGCAACGACTGCTACTGCTACGACTACGACTACGACTACGACTGCTGCTATTCCTACTACCATTATTACTACTACTACTACTACTACTACTACTACTACTACTACTACTACTACTACTACTACTACTACTACTACTACTACTACTACTACTACTACTACTACTACTACTACTACTACTACTACTACTACTACTACTACTACTACTACTACTACTACTACTACTACTACTACTACTACTACTACTACTACTACTACTACTACTACTACTACTACTACTACTACTACTACTACTACTACTACTACTACTACTACTACTACTACTACTACTACTACTACTACTACTACTACTACTACTACTACTACTACTACTACTACTACTACTACTACTACTATTACTACTACTATTACTACTAATATTACTACTACTACTATTACTACTACTACTACTACGACTACTCCTGTTACTACTACTATTACTACTACTATTACTACTACTATTACTACTACTACTACTACTACTACTACTACTACTACTACTACTACTACTACTACTACTACTACTACTACTACTACTATTACTATTACTATTACCACTACTACTACTACTACTACTACTACTACTACTACTACTATTACTACTACTACTACTACGACGACTACTACTACTACTACTACTACTACTACTACTACTACTACTGCTACTACATGGGCCGAGGCCTCCGAACGATTCCGAGCCCTCTGGGGCCTCCCCGGCACGCCCTCGTGAGTTCCTCGGGGCCGACGCTTCGCCTCGCTCTCGGCCTCTGGAGGCCCGGTTTGGGCCTGGAGGCCGTCGCACGTGATGGTCGCCCCATGGGCGCTGGCAGCCTTGGGAAGGTTTTCCTCGTCCCCGTCGTTCTCGTCCTCGTCGTCGCCCTCATCGTCGTCCGTCGTCGTCGTCCGTCGTCATCGTCCTCGCCATCGTCGTCGTCGATCGAGGGTCGAGGTTGAGAGCTTTGAGTTTGTGGACGTTGGGATTCCGTGCTGGGCCTCTGGGAGGCCTCTCGTCGCCCCGGCCGGATCCACCTGGACGGGCTTCGAGGGCTTCGGAGCGAGCCCCTGGACGGGCTTCGAGGGCAGAGCTTGAAGAGGGACCGGCCGCCGACTGAACGATGGAGGAGGCTCCGACGTCGTGTTGGCGGCGAGCAGAGGGGGGGTAGGGGGAGGGGGGAAGGCTTCTTAGAAGGAGGCTGCTTCTCAGAAGGCGCCGGCCTTACATCTACAGAGAAGGCCCGCACCTTCTAAGAAGCAGGGGTGCTCCTAAGAAGCCTTCCCCCCTCCCCCTGCCCCCCTCTGCGCGCCGCCAATCGTGATTGTCTGAGTGCCGACGTTCCGTCCCTCGTTCTCGGTCTCCAGAGGCACTTTTCGGTGCCCGGGGCCGTGGAAGATCGGTCCCAGGGGGAGGTGTCGAGATGTCTGGGGGCTGCGTGTGGAGGAATCTGGGCTTCGGAGGTGTGGGTCAGAGGTTCGAGTGAGGTCGAGGAGTTACCAGTGTAGGCGTTTCGCCCTCGTTTGGGCCATGGGAGGCCTCCTGAGGTCCTGGCGAGGACCTCCAGGGACGTCTGGAGACTCTCGTGGACAGCCCGAGGCCCAGAGCTCTGGCGACGCCTCCTCGGGAGCAGAGCCGGGCGGCTGGCACTCGTGGCACCTTGGGCGGTGTGTGTGAATGGGATAAGTCGCATGGGGCGTTCCAAGAAGGGCCTTGCTTTCGCGAGTACAGTCGGGGCCCCGAAGAAGGAACCCTTTTCGTTGGGGAGGGGCTCGGTGTTCCTTGCTTGTTCTGCAGTGTACCTTCGGTTCTCCTGAGGTTTCCCATGGGAAATCGAAGTTCAACTCATGGGAGAAAGGGGCCCCGTTCCTTATTTATCGTTCCTTAGGTCTACGCCCCGACTGTAGAAGGAGTTGTCATCTCTTCTGTGGCGGAAGGCGGCGGAAGGCCAGCGGAAGTGAGCGAGGCCGTTGCCGTTGGCGGAGGCTTGCGGAAGCTTGGCGGACGGCTGCGGAAGGAGAAGCTGCGGCCCCCAAAGATGAACACGTGTTTTGGGTTCAGGGTTTTCGGAATCCCCTACAAGAGCACATGTGCTATAACATGTGCAAGAGGGCACTGGAACACGTGCGCGCGCAGTTCAGATACTCGTGCAGTCTCGCTTGCAGCAGTGGCGGCAGCCGTGCGAACGTTGCCGAGGATCCGCGCGTCGTGCTTGATCATCTCGTGTGTATGCGCTACGTGTTGGCGCCGCCCATGCTGAGTGTCATTACATCAGTCGAGCGGGACATGTACGCCACCAGGGAAATAGTTTGACCAGGGAGGGTGGCCAGGGCTGCTACGAATTACGTTGCCAATGTGATGTGCTCGAACAGAGCACGTGACTGGCTGGCGCGTGCCATGCGCGAGCTAGAATATGTGCATTCGACAAGTTCCCGGATGACTCCTTGGATAGCTATGCGGATTGTTAGAGAAGATGCTGGCAGGCAGGGCTACACCAGGCCCTTTCCAAGACTCCTGGGCAGACATCCCCTGAGCAAACTGCTTGAGGTCGCAGCGGGCCCGAGAAGTGTTTCCCTACTCGTTCCCAGTACGCATGCCTGAAGCCTTTCCTCAGGTCTCTCGCAGCTCCCTCGAAGCTCCTTCGAAGCTTGCAAGCTCCCCGGGTATGCTCTCCAACGCCCTGGCAAGCGTCTCCCACAAACATTTTCCAAGCTTGCAAGCTCCGGGCATGCCTGCGCCTCCCGCGAGCGCTTACGCTCGGCAACACCCCAACATACTTATACTATATGTGCGTCGCCCCCCCAGGGGCGACGCGCGCACCGAGAAATCTTATAGTATATGCGTCGTGGCGGGCGCTTTCTGGCCGCACCGCTCGGGAAACGATATACTACAAGATGGGTATACTATATGTTGGGGTCGGACGCGCGCCTCCAAGGAGGACATATAGTATTAGTATGTCCATGTGCGTCCCATACGCGTCTAGGACTGCGCCGCTGTGCGGAGTTCGGACCGCACAGGTGGGCGCTGCGAGTGGCGATCCTACATGTGAAACAGATGACTTGTCTCATGCAGCTGTTGTGGGAGCCATCCAGAAGCGTGGCATTGCACCAGGAGAATGGAGGTGGAGAACAAGGAGGGAGGGAGACGGCGGAGGAGGGAGGGGGAATGTGCCCCAACGAGTCCCAGGGCTCCTGGACGGGGGATGCGGGGCTCCAGGCCGACGTCGACGACCACGACGACCTCGTCGAAGACCTCGACGGTGACTGCGACGACGACGGTGACGACGACCTCGGCCGCGACGACGGCGACGACGACGACGACGCCGACGACGACGACGACGCCGACGACGACGACGACGCCGACGACGACGCCGTCGATGCCGACGACGCCGCCGACGACGACGACGACGACGATCACAGCGGCGGCGGCGGCGTTGGCAACGGCGCTGGCGACGGTGACGGCCTCGACGGCGGCGTCTGCGACGGCGGCGGCGGCGGCCGCCGCCGCTGTCGCTGGCTGGGGATCGAAGGGCCGAGCCCGCGGGCGGAGACGGGCAGGGCAGGCGCTGGGCGGCAGCGCCGGCCACGACCTGCGCGGCGCTCGGCCTCCTCCTCCTCCTCCTCCTCCTCCTCCTCCTCGAACCTCCTCCTCGCTCCTCCTCCTCCTCCTCGCTCCTCCTCCTCCTCCTCCTCCTCCTCCTCCTCCTCCTCCTCCTCCTCCTCCTCCTCCTCGCTCCTCCTCCTCCTCCTCGCTCCTCCTCCTCCTCGCTCCTCCTCCTCCTCGCCTCCCTCCTCAGAGGTTCCCCTCGAGCCTTGGGCCGGCGGGTTTCCGGAGGGGGGGGCCCGTCGAGGCGGCGGCGGGCCCTGCGCGCGCGGCGCGGCTCGCGGCGTCTGGGCCTTGCGGAGGCCTCCCGTCGCCCGGGCCGGAGCCGTCTCGGAGAATCAGTTGGAGGGGCGCGGGGGGCATGCAGTTGGGCATGGCTTAATGGGGGGGTCAGAAATGGGGGGGTCAGAAAAGGTCCCCTTTCGTGCCCCTTTCGGGCCCCTCCAGAACCCCAGGGGGCTCGTTTAGGTACCGTTTGGGTACCTTTTCGAACCACCCTTGCCACCCCCCCATTTATGACCCCCCCATTACGCGGCGCCCAATGCAGAGAGAGGCCGTGCGTTGGCTCCCGCGTCGAGCGGTGGGCCGATCTAGGGAGCAGAGAGCCCCCGCGGGCTCGGAGGAGGGCCCAGAGGTTCTCGGCGCTTCCTCGCGGGGGCGCAGGCCGAGAGCTCCAGAAGCGCAAGCCGGCCGAGCAGCAGTTCGTTGAGGCAACGCGGAGCCGACCTCCTGAGGTCTCACAGCTCTCAGGAGGGAGAAAAACACACAGACACAATGAATCGGCGATTCCCAGAAAATATAGGAAAATATGGGAAGTGGGGGTGAAGACAAAAACCCAGAAAATATAGGAAAATAGGGGGTATATTTTTATTTGTGTGTATTTGATTGTGTGTCCCAGTTCCCCTTCAAGCTCCCCCAGCTGGTCCCTGAAAATCGGAGGCTGATAGACCTCCCACCCTGACACGTCGATTCGCGAATTTGCCGTGTTCGGTTCGCGGGAGGGCGTCGCGGCCGTCATTTTTGCGGGTCCAGGTGCGTCGGTTTCGGTTCTAGGCCGTTTTCTCTAAAGGGAGGTTCACTACAGGGAGATTTCTCCACTGCCGAGAAAACAGATTTTCAGAGGCCAGGGCGCACCCAGTCCGAGAAATCGTGTTTGTGATGTACGTGGTGCGAAGAGTTTGCCATCTGCCAGGACGCGCCGTATCAGGCTCGTCCTGGCAGGTGACGTGAACTGCTGAGCGTCGTCCGAGGGCAGCTCTGAAAGTCTTGTCGAAGACCCCTCGTTGAAACGGACGCCGCCGCAGCCGACTCCGCAGCTGCTGCAGGCCCTCCGCTCGGAAGAGCGGGCGCCGCCGTGATGTAATTAGGCCTCTTCCGCCTCCGTGTCGGCAGCCGCCACCTCCAGGATCGTGTCCCCCCTTCTGCTTGTTGTTGTTGTTGTTGTTGTTGTTGTTGTTGTTGTTGTTGTTGTTGTTGTTGTTGTTGTTGTTGTTGTTTTTACAGCGGGCACATTTGGTACTAGTCGCCTTCGTATTCGCACTCTTGCTTTCAGCACCACTCGTCTCCACCCAGCTATTCCTCGCAGCCTTCGTCCTCTTGCACATACGATCCTGTGCATTCGTGCGCTTCCCGTTCTTATCATCGACGCAGTCTTAGCAGCATGGCTCTTCGTCTGCGCCTGGCGCTGCTCGGCGTCGTCGACCGCAGACCCGGCCGGCCGTCTTTCGCGCCGCCGTCGCCCTGCCGACGCGAGCCCGTGCCCGCTTCCGCCCCGCGTCCGCGCGCGGCTCGGGCGGCGCAGGGGCGGCCGAGCCGGCTGGCCCGCCCGCCCGCGCGGCCGCCGCTGCTCCCTGGGACGGCCTCCCTGCGCTGCGCGGGGGGCTGCGCCCACGGGTGGGCAACGCGGCGCGGCCCCCGCGGCCGGCAGGGCAGTTTTTTTGTTTGTTTTTTTTTCTTTTTTATCTATATATATATAATAAAACAAGACATTGGATTTTAAAAATATAGGATTTCAATACATGATCAATATATGAATAAATGTATTTATGTACTCATCGTTGTTTTTAGTACTGAACCCTGAACTTCTAATATATGATCCGCACGCGGAGCATCTATAAAAAACGGCACTGTAGGTCACCCCTCATTTACCACCCGCCCAACCTCCTCCAGCAGCGCTCAATGCGCCCAAGGGCCCAAGGGCTTCCGCTCCTCGGGCCGAGATGCCTGCAGAGCGACGCTGCACTTGTAGCAGATCGCACTCTGGCGGGAAGTCTGTTTCCGGTGGCAACGATGACGCTTGACGTGGCCTTTCGTCTGGCTCCCAGCCGAGACGTCACTTCCCATTCCCGCCCATGCGAGGAGGCTGAGGGGGAGAAGGACGACAATGAGGAGGAGGAGGAGGAGGAGGAGGAGGAGGAGGAAAAGGAGGAGGAGGAGAAGGATGAGGAGGAGGAGAGGAGCAGGAGGATGGAGGTGAAGGGGCACGGGGAGTACAGGAGGAGCAGTGGGAGGAAGAGCATAAGCAGCAGGGGGAGGAGGAGCAGAAAGTGGGGAGGAGGAGGAGGCGGAGGAAGAGGAGGAGGAGCAAGAGGAGGAGGAGGAGCAAGAGGAGGAGGAGGAGGAGGAGGAGGAGGAGGAGGAGGCGGAGGAGAAGGAGAACGACGACGACGAGGTGGGGAGGAGGAGCAGCAGCAGCAGAAGGAGCAAGAGGAGCACGAGGAGGACCACGACGACCACGTCAGCGACGGCGGCACGGCGGCCGCGGCATGGGCGCCGAGGCATGGCGTCCGGCCTAACGGCGCTAGGGGGCCCTTGGGCGCCTACCGGGGCAACCACCGGAACAGCCGCTCCAACAGCCCCCGCATCACAGGCGGCCCGTCGCCGCCGCGGTCGGCCGTCGGCAGCCTCTCTTGTCCTCGCCGTCCTTCCTCGCTTGCCCTGTCGTCGGGGGGGTGCATGAGGGGGCAGTTTCCACGGGGGTGGGGCGCGGAGAGAGAGAGAGAGAGAGAGGAGATGGCGTCGGCACTGGAGAACATCGAAGAAATACCAGTCAGCACCGGAGCTATCCTCCTCGTCCTCCTCCTCCTCCTCCTCCTCCTCCTCGTCCTCCTCCTCCTCCTCCTCCTCCTCCTCCTCCTCCTCCTCCTCCATGAGGACTGCGTGGATATCATGGCCGGGTCCCCCATGCAGCGCAGGGCCGCCCCCGTGGGAAGCGGCTCCAGGACGCGTCGAAAGATGATGTCTTATATATTCGAGCTTCTGCGGCGGCGGAACGCGCAGCAGATACCTGACTTCGCGCGCACTTGTCTACGGCAAATCCTGCGATGATGAGCGCAGCGTTCTGGGGGAACAGCGCCCACTTCGGCCAGATCTGGTGCCCCCCGAGAGGTCTGCACGAAGCCCCCTCATCCGAGCTCCTCACCCTTCGCTTCATTGAGCGTCGCCGTGGCATCGAGCATTTACTCCACCTCCGCTGCACCCGACCCTCAGGGTTTTCTCCCTCTTCCCCCCGCCCGCTTCCCCCTCTCCCTCCTCCTTCTCTGTCCTCCTCCTCCTCCTCCTCCTTCTCCTCCTCCTCCTCCTCCTGCTGCTCCTCCTCCTCCTCCTCCACCACCCCCCTCTTCTCCCTCATCTTTCCACCACTTCCGCAGCGCGCACTCGCTTGACACCAGGACCCCGGCACACCCTCCAACCTCCTCCTCCTCCTCTTCCTCCTCCTCCTCCTCGTCCTTCATGGGCCCCTATACGTAGGCCCTCATCCCCGTCCTCGTCCTAATCCCCTCCTCGTCCTCATCCCCGTCCTTGTCCTCTCTTCTCCTCCTCTCCTCTCCACCCCTCTCCTCTCCTCGTCGTCCTCCTCCTGCTCCTCCTCTCCCCTCCTCCGACTCGTGCTCCTCCTCCTCCTCCTCCTCCTCCGATTCCTTCCGCAGCCATTTTGGCTCAAGTCTTATGCCTGGCGAGCGGACCGCTCATTCCGCACCCCTTCCGTGTCGACGGTGGCGTGCGTTGTTGCCCTTGCTGCTTGAATGGCGTTCGTGCTTTCGTGATTTGCGCTGTGCGTTCTCGTTCAGCAAGGCGAGGCGTTTGAGCTGGGCTTCGAGAAGCATGCCCCTATCGGGTACCGCCTGCTCACGGCCCCCGGGCTTTCACAAGTGCGCCATCTCGACTCGACGGTAGGAGCAGGGCTTCGCACCGCCACCCGTGGGCGGTGCCGGGCTCCTGGGGGCGGCCATTGGCAGGGGCCGCAAAGGTCGACGGGTCGCAGCGGTCGCCCTTAGGACCACCCCTACGACACCACTGTGGATGGAGGCAACAGTTCGGTGACGAGTGGAAACGTGGTAGCAGTCTTCTCTCTGCGTGGTTGCTGGACGGGTTCCGCGGGAGCTGCCCGCTGCGTCGCTTAGGCCGTTGTAGGTTTTCTGTCGGTAATCGCTTTGGGGGGGTTAGACATCGGGGGCGAGGGGGCGCCGCATTTGCCACCCAGCGCCGCTGGGGCTGCTATTGATATTTTCCCAACGTTGCCGCTTGATGTCGGCGTCACCCCAACATGCTTATACTATATGTGCGTCGCGCCCCAGGGGCGACGCGCGCACCGAGAAATCTGATAGCATACGCGTCGTGGCGGGCGCTTTCTGGCCACACCGCTCGGGAAACGATATACTACAAGACGGGCACACTTCTGCATGTTCGGGTCGGACGCGCGCCTCCAAGGACGACATATCGTATCAGTATGTCTCTGTGCGTCCCATGATGCGGTAGAGCTACACGCGGCACCGCACATGTATACATAGAGTTAGGGCGTCCACCAACTCCTCCTTCTCCCTTCTCCTCCTCCTCCTCCTCCTCCTCCTCCTGCTCCTCCTCCTCCTCCTCCTCCTCCTCCTCCTCCAGTGAGGGCCTGGAAGGCCCCGACGAGCCACCAACCCCTAGTCAAGCTTGCTCGCAAGCCGATCTTGAGAGATCGACTGCTTCGTCCCAACCTGCCACAGCAGCTGCTATTTCACCGAGAGCTTCCGAAGGGCCCCCCGACCGAATCGCTGGAGGGCTTGTGGCTGGAGGTCGCCACTGAAGTCTCCCCTCTCAGCGAGCCTGTCCCAGACCACGTTGCCGCCTGCCCCGCTTGTCAGGTCTGCCCACAGAGCTCGTTGGCACGAGGTCGGAAGTATGGGGCCCCTTTGTGCAGCACACGGAAGCTTTCTATAGAAAGGCCTACGGCATCCATGATAGCGACGCTGCTCAGTATGCTGGTAGGGCTTACAGTAATAGATATGAAACCTCTGTAGTGAAGGAGCGTGGTTTGAGACGACCGCGCTACCAGAGTTTTGAGGCGGGTTGGTGGTCCAGAGTTGCCAACACGCCCAACTTATTTTGCACCCTCGTCGAGAGGAGTAAAGGGGAGCAGCAGCAGCAGGACTTTGCAACATTGCCAGGCGTCTGTCCCAGGAAGGGGTCCCATCTACAGGTGCTCGGCCGTCGGCTAATGCGCTGTTCCATCGTAATCTGTGGCAGCAGCGAGTGGCGGACATCAGTAAAGTAGAACTGCAGACGCTTGCGAGCATGGCCCTCCAGGCGTCGAACGAGTCCACCCGCGCACACAGGCACGATCTTGAAAAGGAACTGCGTGTTTGGGCCGAGTGGCTCTCGGACCCTGTGAAGGCCCCTGTGGGTAAGTTGCACTGTCTCACTAAGCCCCCTCCCCGTTTCGAAGACGAGTTTGTGCTAGGCAAGTGTAAGGCCACGTCGCCTCTCGAAATCGTTGACGCCCAAACCAAGGTTTTTGAAGAGATTTGGGCGAATGGATTTCCCGAGAGTGCCCTGGCCCACCTACCAACCAGCCGCGCCACACCCAGCTCGCCCTGGGGACCAGGAGCGGCCACGCATCCCATGAGCTCGCTTTCTACGAGCCATACTGGATTTGCATCAGGTGTGGTAGTCGGGCTTTGGAAGGGAGGGGACACCTCAGAGGCCTCTCGGAAGTATGCTCACCTCCTACTAAAATAGGGAATTGGGTTATGTCTCGCGTATTTCAAGGGAGGCCACTCAAGTGAAGTCCTCCTGAGAGCCCAGCCATCCAGACATCGTCTGATTGGGAAAGTCCTGTGGAAAGTCCTCCTCCTCCTCCTCCTCCTCCTCCTCCTCCTCCACTCCTTTAGGAGTAGTGAACTAACTTTGTGGGGCCACTCCAGAGTTAGGGCGCTCCACCAACCAGCGCGTGGGCGTGCGTGGCCTGGACGACGACGCGGAAGCCAGCGCGCCCTCCGGCAGCCGCCCCGCCCCCGGACGCGCTGCTCGGGCGCGATGGGTCGGCTATGTCCCAGCCGAGGCGAACCTGGCAGGCGAAAGAGCCCAGTGCGACTGGGCCGGCGAGATTGGCCCCCCGTTCTCGCCCACCGACAACATTCAGAGCCCCGAATCATCAGGGGTAACTCGGGTCAGGGCTAACTCGGGCTCGTTTTTCGGGAATCCGAGCCCGACTTGCCCCGGGCCCGACCTACCCTGGATAATTCGGGCGCCCAGAGCCCCGAACCATCAGGGGTAACTCGGGTCAGGGCTAACTCGGGTTCGTTTTTCGGGAATCCGAACCCGAGTTACCCCGGGCCCGAGTTACCCCGGATAATCCGGGCGCCCAAAACATGGATTTTAGCACGCCAGTTGTCCACGCGGACCCGCTGTCGGGAGGCGGACCCCCGAAGGGGCGGCCGATGTCGGGCCCGGACGCCCAGGGACAAGGGGCAGCCGCTGCGCCACAGCCAGGCCTCCAACACCATGCAGGAGGAGCGTGGTGAGGATGTACGGGCGCCCGCTGAAGGCGACCCCAGTCCAGGGGAGAGTGGAAGTTGGGCGGGGCATGCGTTGCTCGCGGCGCGGAGCCTTCTCGGGCCTGCTGCCGAGAAGCGCGCCCTTGCCGAAGCCCGGGAGTACTCCTGGATTTCCGGGTCCGATGCCGAGGGCGCCGACGTCGAGGCCGACGGGGTCCACGAGCCTGGTGTCGAGGGCGCCGGGGTCGCTGCGGGCGCCATGCCCTCGGCGGCAGAAGCGGGAGCTCTCCTTGGGCTCGAGGGCGAAGATTGGCATGGCGATTCCGTGGCCGAGGACGGCGACGCCGAGGCCGACGAGGTTCGGGTATAGCCAGGATCCTGGGCCGGCAAGGGGACCTGGTTAGTGGTAGGGCCCTGGGGCCCCTCAATTGGCCAGATTCACTAAACCAGGTTTGCCGTAGCTGGTGTTTTTCGGGTGGCGGCTTTTCCGGTTGGTGGAGATGGGGCGGGGGGGCGCGCCCGGTACAAGTCACTAAACCAGGTTCCACTAAACCCAGTTGTGCCAGCGCCCGAGAGGTATACGAGGCCGCACTGGCCGAAGCGAACGCGCAGCTCAAGAGAGACGACGCCGACTTCGCGGCCACGCTGGCCGTTGCGAAGGCGAACGATTCCGAGGCCGAGGTCGACGGCGTCGAGGCCGACGAGGCCCGCGAGGTTGCTGTCCAGGACGGCGACGGCGCTCAGAAGGCCCCGCTGAGGGCGGCGCGGGCCGACCTCGAGGACCTCCTGAGCGAGCGCGACGAGGAGCGGGAGGAGGCGCGCGCCTGGTCGAAGGTGGCCGCGTCGAGCCACCGCCCCGCCGCGCCGAAGTCTGGCCCCGCGGCGCACAGCAGACGGTCCGCCAAGAGGAGTGCGCATCTGCGGCGGCGCCCGGCCGCCTCCGCCCCCGCTTTCTCCCGGCGGTCTCTCCGGAAGAGTTCCCGGCCCGCGTGGCCGGCTCTCCCGGGGCGCGCCGGAACGCACTCCGCGCGCGCTCTGACCAGGCGCCCCGCTTCCCGGCGGATCAAGAAGTTCGGCGCGTGGCGCGCCTGCCTGGAGGTGCGCGCCGCGG